TATAACTCCTGAGTGAGTCACCTAGAGTCCAGTAATTTTAAAGATGTAAAATGGATTCAAACCAACCTACAAACCACCACAATAAGAAAAAGATGGATTTAATCTTCCTCTCTGAAATTATTTTCATAGCCAATTCTTTTTTTGAGACAGAGTCTCAAAAACTATGTTGTGCTGACTAGCCTTAAACTCATGGTGATACTTCCTCAGCCTCCCAAGAACTAGGTTTACAGGTGTACATGACTATATTTGCCAACTAATTCTTAAATATTTGGATTTTTCATAATTGCTAACCCTAATGCTAACTGTAAGAATATGAAATTATTGAAGCTTTAAGAAAGTGTAGTTATTAATTTTAAAATACTATAGGAAATATGAATTGTTTTATTAGGGGTAGGACAAGGAGATTCCAAGAGTGAATGTTCTGAATTCAGGCTGGCTTTGTCATTTATGTACTGTGTAACTTTGGACAAGTGTCAGCCTCAACACCCTCATACTTACACGTGAGTATAAGAACAGTACCGACCTCATGAAGATATTATGACAATAAAATGAGATAATATAAGTAAAAAGCTTAGTTCTGGGAAGAAATTTTTAAATGTGCTATTTTTAAAGTTAACATCCCATTTTTGTATCATTTTGATCCAGGCTTCTCTCTCTAATTTTTTATGTGTGGAATTTGGTGTATTTCCCCATTAACAGATAAACTAAAATAATATCATATTCATTGCTCTTTAAAAATATTTCAGAGATACTAATGAGTCGTTAGGACAAAATATATTCATTGTCATTTTGACAAATTGTGTAGTAGATAGCATAGAGACAGGGTCAAATACAAAGAAACAGCTCCCAAAGAAGGAGGAGCTAAATAGAGAAATGTGTCAAACACACATGTGCCTAAGATGATAAAATGATAAATAATTCTAGAAAAGGCAGTTGAATTCTTGAAGAATAGTTCATGCTTAAAAAACAAAATGAAATCAAAATGTTTCTCTACTTTTATTACCAGAAGGGATATTGTTAATCTTTCCCATGTAGTATGAAATATAGTTTATATTCAAGTTTTGAAATGATACCGAGTTAATACATTTAAGAAGTACTCATATGAGCCCTATGATTTCAATTCCTGTGAAGTTTCTAAGTGCAACTCTAAAACCAACCTGTAGTTTGACTTGATACAATCTTTCCCCTCAGAAGATCTTGACCCACTAGCTGAGCTTCACTGCAGTCCCACAGTCCCATTCCATGGACTCCACCCATCATTCTGTACTCCTCTGAGGTTTCATGGCCTTCTGTCACTGATTCTCCAGCCTCCCCAGTCTTATATCCCCGGACACTGCTGTGTGAAACCTACTCTCCAACCCGGAACCTTAGCCAATGTTTTCCACCCACATACTGCAACTAATGGACTCAACAACATGCAAAATCAGTTTCAGGTTTTTCCATTAAGTGACTTCCAAGGATCCACTTCCTCTGTGAAATCATACTCACAAAGTTCATCTGGCTATCCTACATTCTTCCTCCTGTCTGCACCAGGTAAGTATATAGACTCAGAGGGGTTCCTGATTCAATGCTTCAGATGAAGAATATGGAATTGAAAATACAGAGTGGGCTAGTCCACAGTCTATATTTAAACTTGGTCTTTTCTCTTAATAAAGTTTAGGTAACATCTCCTGAAAAGCTTGTAGCACAAATGCTCAGCTGGGGATTAGGCTTGACTTCAGAGGGAAAAAGTTGCTATTGCCCATTAAAGGCACTTAGAGCTAGTGTTTATCCCTATATAATTTCAGCTTTTAAAGACATGCCGTTTCTTTCTCCCCTTTTTTATTTTTGAAGGAATACATTTGGTCATAAAGTGAAGTCCATATTAGCAAGTGCATCGCAATGTTCATTCCAATCAGATGCAGCTTTCTCCTCCAACTGGTCTCTTGCTTGCAATTGCAACCCTCATCACAGTAAGGAAAAAGGGAGCGGGAGTATTGAAATGTGTCGGTGTTTTTTTTTTTTTTTTTTTTTTTTT